CAGGCATTATTCTCCCATTCCATGGGCTGCTTTTACTCCAGGTGTTTGTAAGAACAAGCGATGACTTGGCCCCATCTCTCAAGATTAATGATCAGGACAGGAGAAGCAGTATGTTTGACTGCTGGGCACCAATCCAGCCCAGTTTGGGCCATCCTTGCATTGTTTTAATAATGCTCTTAGAATTATTACATATAGTAGAAATTATTATGATTATTATGTACAATACATGTATTATGATTACAAGAAGTATACTGAAATAACCCCTCCAAACAGACAGACAAACACACACTAGAATTACTGGCAACACACCATGTATCCGTTATAGTTGACTTATATATGAATCCTCACCAGATCTCCACCAAAACTATTTCTTGAAACAGCTTAATGCAACAGACTTCTGGCCTTTGTTGTAAGGATGTCTGCCTAACTAACCTTACAAAAGGGTGTTTGCTTGGGATGCTTTTATTAGCTCCTAAAAAATAAAGCTCTTGGACTCATCATCAAGGAAATACCAGCTTGTTCCTTGGTCTGAATTAATGTAATAAGTTATTCTGATGGGCTGTGGGAATATTAATACCTCTGATTTTCCAAGAAGGTATAAACCAACTAACCTCTGGCCCAGATTTCACCTTCAGGAAACTTTCGACAGCAGTTAAGGTACCTTTCGGGGAAGAGAAAACATTACCAGGCATATACAATTACTAGTTCACAAAGCCACAGTATATACTCTGGTAACCTCAAATAGCAGACCACTGACATTATTAGTTGAAAAGGCAGAGTCACGTCTTTGTTTCAAATTAAACTAAGGTTAAGTTCCACAGCTATTTCAGTTAGCAAGTATCAAATTTCTTATGTGAAGTACTTCAGTAGAGGTCACCAATGCTAGCTTTACTCATTACCTTTTTCATGTCTTATTGACTTAATGACATAATGTAAACAATCAATAAAAAAAGGAAACCAATATTAAGAGCCATATTTAGCTTTCCTCCAAGTTTCAAAATAAAGGACGATGGAGGTTATGAAGACCAGGATGGAGTTAATTTGTGGTACACTTTAAGGGCAAACGCCCCACACCCCAACCCCCTGAACCCACAAAGCACCAACCACAAGCTTACAAACCCACAGAGAACCCTGAACTCACAAGATATCCTAAACCATGCAATATTATCTTGTGTTTCACAAAGAATGCTTAGTTGTGATGAACAGCAAAATAAAACAGTTCCTCAAAATTCTGATTTGTTTTGCTTTGCACAGTTCCTTCCCAGTTTACAAAACTGTACTTGTATGAGCAAATTTCAATATAGCAAGCAACTGGACAGACAGGGGACAATACCATAAAGTCAAACCAGGAAGAGATAAGAGACGTCTTTATTCAAAAAAAGTATCAGACATCGAATTATAACCCCATGTAAAAACAAATGCTCATTTCCAGGCCTCTCCTCTCCCTCCAATCACATCCAGATTGAGTTTTCTTAAACTGAAAGCAGACGATACACTTCAATGCAAAGCAAACCCACTTAACAGCAGTTTTAATTGCCCATAAAGGCAAAACATTTGGATACTCACTGGCCTTTTCAATTGAAAGTCAGATGTGATGAACAAAACATCCTCATTTGAGATTAGGATCAAATGCAAATCTGATCCCGATTTATGCATCCAGGATCCTAATTTGATCCAGAATTCATGCAAATATCTCACATCTTTTCTCAAACGTATTTATGCTCTTCTGGTTACCGTCTACCTGTTCCTAAAGTAAAAAGTAGCGTACGGCACTGTCCACCTACACTCATACACCAGCTTCTCAGTGCTTGTGGTAGAAAAACAAAATTTAGGAAACCCAATTACCCACCAATCTGCAAACCCTTTCCCACTGCCTCTTCCCTACAGAGGTTCTCACTGTACAAGAGGCAGTGTGTTGAGGCTTGCCAAGGGACAACCACACGCTGGCTCAACAGCCCACTGGTGACAGCTGCAGCTTCTGTTGTCTTTGTAAGCAATGTTTCCTTGAATCCCTCTTCTACCTAACAACCAATGTTCTTCAATCTAATAGGAATTATGATTTACTTTAAAATTTCTACCTACGAGATCTGGTTGAAACTGATCAGCTGCTAAAGGCAGGCAAAAGGAGAGACTGAAAAACTTCCCATGTAAGTAATGCTGCTTTAGGAAACCAAATGAAAACATAATCTGCATTTCTTTTTCAGCATAAAGTCACACTTAAAAGTCACCTTTCAACTTGTCTCTGGTGTACAGCACTCCCATATCAGCTGGTATAGAGTCAAAGCCACAACTTCCAATGACATATACTCCCTTTTCCGCAGCTTTTTCATTGTATTTCAGGTACATGCCTTCCAGAAACTAAAACACAGAACAAATACTTTAAGCAGAACTGTCTATTTGGACATACCCAATATTAGCCACCCATGCTTTACTGTGTCATATCATAGCACCCTACATACTTCAACCCACTTACATCTGAGACAGACAAAGAAATGTGACCTGCACAAATTCCCTACATAGGATCAAACTGAGCTTTGAGTCAGAACTCAAAAATTCGGGATTTCTGGAAAGAACCTTAGAGGCTCTCACCTAACAGCTAACACACTGTACTTTAAAATAATTAACACACCTTAAAATTATAGATCACGAAGAAGAATTTGCCTTCCTGGTCATAAACATTAACAGGAACATGAAACATACTAAATAAACACACTGCCATAAGGTAGCATTTTTCTACTGTCACGTACCTGTGGCTCTCCACTGATGTCAATGTGGCTTGCACCATTTTCAACACAAGCTTCTACCACAGGCTCCCCAAAGAATCTATACTATAGAAGAAAAGAACACCACACATAACGAAAGCTCCACAGCACAACTCTCCCAACATGCTCTATCTTACACATATACGTACACCAAAACCTCGCCACGCCAACCTGCTACACTGCCGCCTGCCCCGAGGAGCCCAGCCGCAAGCAGCAGAGAGGCAGCCCCGGGCTCTGCCAGCAGCCGCGGGAGTAGCGCCCGCACCGCCGCACTCACCGGGCCCACGCAGTTGAGCACCAGCCGGGTCTGCCTCGCCATGGCGGCCAGTGAGGCCGCGTCGTCCACATCGCACAGCAGCACGCCGACCTCCGGCCCCACCGCCGCCTTCCCTGCGCACCGGAGATCGCCGTCACCGACACGTCCCGCCGCTCCCCGGCAGCATCTCTTCCTACCCCGAGACAAACCACCGCCCCGCCTCCCCAGCACCAAGGGGCTTGCCCCGGCTCTCCCCGCGGCCCTTCCCCAAACCCGCTCGAGGGCGGCTCCTAACGGACAGAACCCCGACACCGGGACCGCGCTGGCCCCTCCGGCCCCGGACGACGGCGCTGCGCCACACGACCCATGGCCCGTACCCAGCTTCTCGGCCGCCCGCTCTAGCACTGCCTGCAGCTTCTGCCGGCTCCGCCCGGCCACGGCCCAGCGCAGGGCGCCCCGCAGTTCCCCGCTGGCGGCCGCCCGCGCCACCTCCTCCACCACGAACTGGCCGGTGAATCCCGAGGCACCGAACACCACCAGCTCGTAGGGCCGCTCGGGCGCCCCGGCGCCGCCGCTACCGCTACCGGCCGCCATGGGTAAAGACACTGCCGCACTGCCGGGCGCCGCCAGGAAGCCCCGGTACCAAGCGGCCCGGCCCCGCCCCGCCCTGGGCGGCCGTTACGGCTGTTGCAGCGACTGAGGGGTGGTGCTGTCGTCCCTCGCTCCGCCCCCAGCGCAGACCCTCAGCTCCTGGCGCGGACCCGCGGTAACGGCTTTGTGGCCCTGCCTTGGGGCAAGTAACCTTTGGTCTCGTTGCAGCAGCTGAGAGAGAGGGCGAGGTGTTATCTCCGGGCATGTTTGACACACACCGTGAACAAATGAAAACATACCGAGATACTACCGGGGGGTCATGGAGCCAGGGGGTTTAAGCAGCAACGTTTGGAGAGAGACGCCATTGTGTCCGGTCCCACATTCTGCTGAGCACGGCCCATTGCCGAGTTATTGCCTTAAGTGTTTCAGCACAGGTGATACAAGATCAATAGGGTACCGCCAGTAACCCAAAGAGAAAATTGTAATCACTTAGAAGCCAAATGAAATGCTCTTGTTTGCCTCACAACTACAGCAGATGTGTATGTCGGGCTCAACAGGGACGGAGAACAAATGCAAAATCTGCAGTTGCTGTTGTGGTGGGGAGAGGCCGTGGCCCTGCAGAGCCGTGCTGGTACGGAGCATCTGTGGCTGCACCACGCGGTGAAGCACGGTTATAATTTCAGTGCTTTTCAAGGCCAGGCTGCTCACCTGGATTCCAGAGGCTCGCAGCAAGTCGTGTGGGAGCCAGCCTCCTGCATCCCTTTCTCCCAGGCAGTTTCTGCCTTATTTTAACCATTCCAAAGAGACGCCTGTCTAATCTCTAGTGACTGATGCTTTCAGACTGTTCCCAGGCAATCTCCTCCTGCACAGTGTTTTGCGTATGGCTGAATACAAGAAACTAGATCTATACATCCTGTAGTTTTGCCCACATGCCATTCTGTTTCCAGAGGACATTAGTAAAAGATTTAATCCCTGAGGAGTGTATAAAAAGATGCTGCAAAGCTGGAAACTTCCATGCATCTCCTCAATCATCCTTAGTTTTTAAATCAGTAACTCTTTTGAGCTTTCCTCACAGGCTATTTCACACATACGTTTTTCCTGTTCTTTTCAGCTGTTTTACGTTTGTACTGAAGATTAATGTCCTTTCTGAACACACTCTAAACGTCTTGTCTCCGAGGCAACAAGAGATCCTCCCCTCTAAAAGCATCAGCATCAACTCCTTAAGTACTGCTGATGCAGCTGTTTGTAGACCTACTCGATCAGCTGTACCAGTGAAACAACAGAGCCTAACAAAGAGCAAAGCGTGGGGGAGGGAAGGACAAAGATGGCTGTTGTAGGTTTTTTTATTCCAGATCATTTTGTTGATCTGATTTACAGAGAGAACATGCAAAACCAGTTTCTTGTGTTTGAGGTCGCTGAACATCTCATTAGTCAAGCTTGTCTCTTACTGTCTTCCTCGGATAATTTCCAGCTGTTTCCAAAGTAAAGGCTGTTTTCTCCGAGGCCACAGTCTTTGGTGTTCCACTCTCCTTTCTCCTTTGAAAAAGCTTTGGAAAAAACAATTCACAACTATAATCAATAGATATTTACCTTCCCCCCCCCCCCCTCCCCCCCCCTCAGTTTGAAGTTAATAAAAATTGTTTTTTCTTCAGACTTTGCATTAACATTTAAAACTGTTCAGTGACATGAGGCTGTAAGGAGCCTTCCAATTGCAGAGGGGTTCTGACATAGCTCACAGGGCTGCCTAATTTCTTTATCCCTTTGCTCCAGAAGCTTGCTTCTCTTGCCTTTTCTCCCTCTTCCATATTATCCCTTTATCATCACACTTAATCCCTTGTCCCTCTCAAAATACAAGGCAGTTTATATATGACTCTGACTCAACTATTTGTAAAGAACCAGGACTGCACAATCTTCCTTGGGCCATACGTGTTTGATAAGAGCTGCATCATTGTGTTAGTCAGTGGCTTGGCAAGCACAAGCTTGCATGCAGTGCTGAGTAACCTGCCTCCTCAGTGACTGAAATTTTACACCAAAAGGGTCAGACTTACCCTGCTTATCAATCCACAACTCTCGATATTCCATCGACTTGTACAATGTCAGCTGCATTTCTTTAAAACACACCTGTTGGAGCAAGATAATTCATATAAGTTGCAGCTTACACAGGCAAGAAAACAGGCTTTCAGAGCTGCAGAAGGACACCTAAAAACCAACTAGGGGGGCATCAAAACAGGAGGCCTACATAAAACATCATTATAGTAGCTCCAATTCATTTTTTCTCGAGAGAGACCTGTGGTTGGCAACTGTTTGCAGTCATCTCCAGTTTCACGCCAGCTCACTAGTAAGAAAAGAACAAAAATCAGTCTCTAAACCAGATTACATTCCTGCCCTTGAAACTAACAAGTTGATGGGTAGGTTTCAGAATGGCAGACATCAAGGCAATGATTTTAAATGGAGAGCTAACAGCAGTCTTGACTAAAGGCAAAGGTTAACCTGTCTCCCTAGTTAGTGCCCTCAGTGCAGGATTACAAAAATTATTCTGTGGGAAAGGAGTAGGACGATTTACAGTTTTCCTTTGTCCAATAGGAAGCCAAGAAATGCCAGATCTGCTGCCAAGTGCAGTTCTACAAAGGAGGTTCTCACCTCAATCGGTTTTAGAAGCTCACAAAAAAGATACTGCTGTTTCTTTTAAAATCTTGCGTTCCAGATTTGAAGGTGCTTATTTTTTCACACGTGTATCAGCATGCAAAGCCTCGTTTAGCCAGACTGCCTCAGTCTAAAGCTCCTTGCCAATTTCTGTGGGACAGAGAAGTACAGAAGCGCGTATGCACACAGCAGCCGTATCTTTTCAAAGTCATCCAATAAAAAGGGGCACGCCTCCCTGTGCTAGTTTCTCCTGTTCTGCTTGGAGCCTCTGGCAGGATCTGAGGAATCTATGTAAACATGCGTAAGAGCACTTGTATGTCCCTTCCTTTCATACAGTGGGCATCCTGATTAAATCCTTCCTGTCAATATTACAGATTTCTTGGACACCAGTCTTTGTGGTAAAGTTTTTTGTACTCATTTATAATTTTAGGGTGCTTTTTATTAGGAGTGGAAACGAAGATGTTGTTCCATGACCACTTTTTAATTAAAATAATAATAAGGTAGCAGAAAGAGTGCAATATGATGTCAATTGCATAAGGATGTATGAAGGCAGCTTTTTTAAACACAGCATGGTAATTGCCTTGAACCCCAAAGGATGAAATAAGATCAGTGGCTTGCATAATTTCAAAAGTTACAACAGAACACAAGAAAAATAGAGCATAAGAGTAGGTAGAGAACCTGGGAAACAAGGTTGATTAACAATGCATGGATAATTCACTGCAGGGTATGAAGAATTATGTGGGTGAGTATATAAGTGATTTAAAAAGAAAAAGCATCTGTGTACCTGTTACAGTGACTCAGTACTGTAAGACTGTGAGAGCAAATATTTCTGGAACAAAGTCTACAGTTCTTAGTGTCGTGGTGTATCTTATCCTGAATTTATGCAGAATATTACTTTATAATCAAGAGGCAATTGGCTTTAAAAAGCTGCTCAATACATAACTTCAGAATTTGTAATAAAACTATTTAGACTGGGATAAAAAAAAAGAGGATCTTGAAATTAAAAACTGCAGAGAATCCAACAAAGTTGCTTCTTTTCTCCAGACTAAACAACCTCAGTTGCCTCAGCTGCTCCTCATAAGACTTGTGCTCTAGGCCCCTCACCAGCTTTTGTCTCCATTTGGACCTGCTCCAGCGCCTCAATGTCTCTGTTGTAGTGGGGGCCCAGAATTGAACACAGGATTCGAGGTGTGGCCTCACCAGTGCCCAGTACAGGGGGATGATCACTGCGCTGGCCCTGCTGGCCACACTGTTTCTAATGCAGGCCAGGATGCCATTGGCCTACTTGGCTGCCTGGGCACATGCTGGCTCATGTTCAGCTGTCAATCAGCACCCCCAGGTCCTTTTCCTCCAGGCAGCTTTCCAGTCACTCTTCCCCAAGCCTGTAGGATTGCATGGGGTTGTGGCCCAAATGCAGGACCATTTTAATATATATGTATACATACACACATGTAATATGTATATTGTATACACATATGTATATATATTCAACCAAATGTACATTCAGCCAAATAAAATAATAAAGGAACAAGGTTCTTTTTACCTAGTTTGGTTATTTCAAACTTGGGAGAATACAAAACAGCAGATGGCAGATCCTGCTCTTCTGTTTTTTAATAAGTTGCATGCACATTCCCATTCATGCACAAATCTAAACAAGCTCTGAAAAGAAGAAATAAAGGCACGTTGACCCATAGAAGGACAGCAGAAGTCAAAGCTTTTGACTGCCACTGGAGTCCAGGCTTCTCATTCAATATTAACTGCAGCCATGACTTCTCACACTGAACTTGAAACACTTACAGGTATGAAGAGGCTGATAAATGTACAGATTTTTCAGTAGATGGACACAGAGCAAGAAAGCATAGGGGAAGAGCACCTTTTTCTGATGACACTAAATAATAAGTAATGTTGCAGTAGAATGCTGTATAACAAAAGTGGCTGCACAGTAAATTAAGACATAAAGAGTTACATGCCCGAGTGCTCTTGCTGGGTACTGCAGGGTTCTGCCCTACCTCACAGTTTAGTAGTCATTTTGATGACAACAGTTAAAGATTTGAAACTTTCTCTCATAGTTGCAGAGAAATGATTTAATGGCAGCTAAAAACCTAAAAGTGAAAGGATTTAGAAAACACACACTAATCTGTACTGGAGACGTTAAAACCTGGAATACAGCTACCTAAAAGAAATGGGGATATATGTTTTGTCAGTGTATGGCAAATGGGAGATATTTGCAATGTGGAAGCATCAGATTGCATGGAAGGAAATAAAAATCTGTCTCCATTTTAAAGTCTACCTAAAGCATTGCATTCCATTTCAACCACTTCACTACTGTGGGCCCCTGCTACAAGGAATAGATTGACGAATTGCAGACAATTCCAAGAAAATTTTCCAGGAAATAATGAATCATCCAGGAGTAGGAATGGAGACACCTTAGAGGGCAAATCTAAAGTTCAAGGTATGTATTCACTACAGAGGCACAATAGTGCTTTGCAAATATCTGAAGGTGGAGGGTGAAGGACTTTGAATACAAAAAGAGGTGTACACCTAAGCAGATGTGGCTGAGAGAGTGACCAGCAGAGCCCATGCCTCGCAGCAAGGGAGATGTCAGTAAGAGAATGAGACCAATGATTCAGTGAGTGCCAATGGACAGGACATCTGAAACAAAGCACCAGGCTGTTACCTGTGAGGAAGCTATGCAATGCCACAAGTTAAGTGGATGGCTAGGTGGGTCATCTGTTCTTTACTGGCTGCAGTCACCAGTATTAGACTGAACTGTAAAATTCTCTAGCTATCTTTCCTTTAATTGCATTGTGAGTATAATAACAGAGCCTGATAGTTCTTAAAATATTCCTTTGTATCTTATTTAAGCAAGGTCATTAGAGGGGGAAAAAAGGGGGGAAACATCTGTATGCTCTAATTAGCTAAAAGTGCTTGCAGGCAAAAACATACAGTTCCTCAATGTTACTCTCTACCAGCTTCAGGTGCCAGCAGAACTTCTTGGGGGCCAGTTGAGGCCAGGTGCCTCTGTTCAGTGCACTTGAATGCTCTGTCAGTGTTCATGCAGAATACCCACAAGAACTTTTTTTCTTTCAGGTTGTATACTGCCTGTTCACATGCAGAGAAACTTAGATTGTCCAGTTTTACACACTGGCAAAACCACAACCACTCATTTTTATCACATTTATAAATCACAGCTAAGCTACACAGGTATTACTGTCCTCAAAAGCCTTGTAGCTGTCTTCAAATTGGCAACATATTTCATCTTTTGACCTCCAAAGACTTCTTTTTCCCAGTACTATCTTGTACAACTCCTGTGTGAGGTCATCTCTGCGCTCCACCTGTTTTCTTTACATAAGGAGTTAGGAAGGATGGTTGTCATAGGAAGAAAACTAACTCTATCCCAGACAAAACCAGGGCAATGGTTCCTTCACAAAACTCAAGATTTTCACCCCAGAATCCATAGCAGTTCAGTGCAAATCTGTCTGTGTGTGTACAAGCAGAGCACATTGCTACACATTGCTATTCCTGCTAACCCTGTATCATTTTTAACACATTTGCACCATCAAACTTCCCTTGAAGCTAGCCTTTCTCACTAATGTGACATCCTCATAAACTGTCAGAGACTGAAGGGAAGAGAATTCCTGATAAGGGGAGAAGAAATGGTGCAGTGGTAGAGCTTTCCCTCTCTTGTTCCTGTGAAAGAAAGTGGGAGAAGAAAGCACACCATTTAGTTTTGTGCAGCTGCTTTTGCTCTGTGTGGATGTTTTGTGCCGGAGAGTTGCTGCAGAGCTTTGGGAGTGAGAGCAGAATGCCAAATATCCTGTGCTCTCAGCCACCATATCCTGCAGAGGTATTTCTGTGCTGAAATATGGGTGACAAGCAACACTTGAAAGCTGCTTCTTCTGTGTCTCCCATGTAGCTATGTGCTGGTTTTGGCTGGGATAGAGTTAATTTTCTTCATAGTAGATAGTATGAGTAGATGTTTTGTTACAACGCTGAAAGCACTGTTGATAATAAAACAATGTTTTAGTTATTGCTGAGCAGTGTTCGCATAGAGTCAAGGCCTTTTCTGCTCCTCTCACCACCCCACCAGTGAGTAGGCTGGGGGTGTAAAAGGAATTGGGAGGGGAAACAGCTGGCACAGATGACCCCAACTGACTAAAGGGATAATTCCATGCCATATGATGTCATGTTCAGCAACAAAAGCTGGACAAAAGAAGAAGGGAGGGATGTTCAAGGTTATGTTTTGTCTTCCCCAGTACCCACATAATGTGTGATGGAGCCCTGCTTTCCTGGAGATGGCCCAACACTTGCCTGCTGATGAGAAGTAATGAATGAATTCCTTGGTTTGCTTTGCCTGTGTGCAAGGCTTCTGCTTTAACTGCACACTGTGTTAACCAAAAAAAAAACCACCAAAAGATAAAACTGAAAAACCCCAGACACAAGTGATACACAATACAGTTGCTCACCACCTGCTGACT